TAAAAAGTATTAAAAAAAAAAACAGAAAAAAAAAAAAAAAAAAAAACAGAAAAAGAAGAAATTTCAAGAAGGAATTATCCAAAACCTTCTCCTTTGAGCTTGCTCCAAGCAGCCTCAAGACCGCTAGTCAATTGTCCAAACATTTCTGCTCTCACCACACCACGCACATCTCTCCTAGGAGTAACACTCTTGGAATTTATCCATCCCCATACTTCTCTCTATTAACAAAGAAAACAATACAACCCAAAAAACCTAAATCACATAAATCAGAAGAGAAAGACAAATACTTTGAAAAAGGAAATAAAGCCGCATGTTTGTGAAAGCTGAACTTGATTCCGAGCTTAGTTTGTAACAACTTAATACATTTTCTCAGCATCCAAACAAAGCACTTACAGTGAACAGATTCCGCGAAGAAAGTGAGGCACCATCGGTTGAAGCAGTCCATGAAGAGCCAACTTGAATCGACCCCACAGCACAATTTCTCGGACTGTAGAATCTTCTGTTCACGGAATAGGGATGAGAAGTCGCCGGGAACTGACCGGAGGCAACTGTGGAAAACTGCATTGCCTCCATTGCTAAACACCGTGCACTCCTCTCTCTCTCTCTCTGGTTCGCAGAAGAAATTATCCGTTTCTCTATCAGTCTATCTAATTGGAGGTTTTTGGTGCCACGCCAGCCTCCTTTTTATTTTATTTTAATTTCTACTCTCCGACATGCAAACGCTGCGTTTTAACTTTAGGGGAAAAAAAAGGGGGGGAAATCAACCCCTGAACTTGATTACTTTTGTTAATTAAGCTCCTTAAAATACATAAAAAATCATAATCACAATCACAATTCCATCCATGAAAGTCAATATTTGGAAAAAAGGAATGAAAGACAATATTTAATTAAAGGTTCATGTTTAATCAGTAATTAAAATAATAATTTTTTAAAATAATGAAGGATTTATTCATCAATTGGGAGAATTATACTAAAACATTCAATTTCTACAAGTTAAAGAACTAGTCTTCTACAAATCAAAGTTAATCCTCAATTTTAGTAAATTATTTATTATTTTTAAATTTTTAATTAATCATTTTTATTAATTAATACCTCTTTTAATATAAACTTAACCATATATTTAAATTGAAAGAAATAAAAAAGAGAGAAAAAGTTTTCTGTATCAATCAAACTATAATGTTTTTTAATCAATCAAAATTTTCATAATGTTTAAATGTTATAATTTAATTTATCAAAAAACTTTATCCTCCCCTCCATTTCCTTCGACCCAAACATATTATACATGTTTTTTTGTCAATTTTGAATTAATAAATGAAATCATAAAAATTAAGGAATACATACCAGGCAGTATTCTCCTTTTATATAAAAGGTTTTAAGATTATCTAATGTAGAAAACAGATTAAGAAAAGGAACAAAAAAGTTTTCTCATTATGCAATGCAAAATATTAATAAAAAATAAATTTATTTGATCAAAAACATTGTGTAGGGGCTTAATTGGTTAAAGTGTACGAGTTTTGGAATTAATTTACCCTTTTTTTCTTTCTTAGGTGCCCTTCACCTCTTTACTCACAAAAATAAAAATAAAAATAAAAATAAAAGTGCCCTTCCCCTCCCATAGTCCCACACTCCTCCCGCCTAAATGTAGTCGTTTCAACCGTTTCTCACGCTCTCTCTTTCCGCCTGCAGAACGGCGTCATTCTCCGCCGTTTTCGATCATGAACGTTAAACTACTCACGACAACCAGAAACGGAGCAACCGCCACCACCCAGTGGAACACTCGATTGAGGGAATTAGCAAAGCAATGCCTCTACAGTGAAGCTCTCACTCTGTACTTGCAAATGCTTCGGTCGGGTTCACCTCCGAACGCCTTCTGTTTCCCTTTCGTTCTCAAATCTTGTGCCTCGCTTGTGCTCCCGTTCTCCGGCAAACAACTCCATTGCCACGTTATCAGATCTGGGTGTGACCCAGAACCCTTCGTGCTTACTTCTTTGATCTCGATGTATTGCAGATGCAGCTTAATTGATGATGCACGCAAGGTGTTCGATGAAAATCCAAAGTCGAGGGAGCTAACGGTTTGTTATAATGCTTTGTTATCTGGGTATGCGTTGAATTCACGGGTTTTTAATGCGGTTACGTTGTTTAAGAGAATGAGGAAAGTGGGTGTCTCTGTTAACTCCGTGACGCTGCTGGCATTGGTACCAGCGTTTTCTGTTCCCGAGTTTTTAGGAGTAGGGAGGTCTCTTCATGGCTGTTGTGTGAAGTTTGGATTGGATGTTGACTTGTCTGTTGCTAATTGTTTGCTTACAATGTATATGAAATGCGGGTCGATTGAGTGTGGGAGGCGATTGTTTGATCAAATGCCAGAAAAAGGTTTGATTTCATGGAATGCTGTGATTTCTGGGTATGCACAGAATGGGCTTGCTACCAATGTTTTGGAGCTTTACAGGGAGATGTTAGCACGAGGGGTTTGTCCTGACCCGGTGACACTTGTTGGAGTTTTGTCATCATGTGCTCACCTAGGTGCCCGTAGTGTTGGTGGTGAGGTTGAACAGCTGATAAAATCTAATGGGTTTGGTTTGAACCCATTTTTGAATAATGCTCTGATTAATATGTACTCTAGGTGTGGTAACTTGGTGAAGGCTCAGGCAGTTTTTGATGCCATGTCCGTAAAAAGTGTAGTTTCATGGACTGCGATCATAGGTGGGTATGGAATGCATGGGCATGGAGAGATTGCAATCCATCTTTTTGACGAGATGATTAAGAGTGGCATTAAACCTGATGGAGCAGCATTTGTGAGTGTTTTGTCTGCATGTAGCCATGCAGGATTAACTGCCGAGGGTATGGATTACTTTACTGCAATGGAGGGAAAGTATCGGTTGCAGCCAGGTCCTGAGCATTACTCTTGTGTAGTGGACCTTCTAGGTCGGGCTGGTCGGCTCAATGAAGCCTTGGAGCTCATTAAATCAATGCAGGTTGAACCTGATGGTGCAGTGTGGGGGGCCCTTTTGGGTGCCTGTAAAATTCATCGAAATATAGAACTAGCAGAATTCGCTTTTGAAAAAGTCATTGGCCGTGAGCCTGCAAATATTGGTTATTATGTGCTGCTATCAAACATATATTCTGAAGCAAAAAATTTGGAAGGAGTACTAAAGGTTAGAGTAATGATGAGGGAGCGGAAACTAAAAAAGGAGCCAGGATGTAGCTATGTAGAATATAAAGGAAAAGTTCACCTGTTCTTGGCTGGGGACAGAAGTCATCCTCAATCAGAAGAGATATATAGAATGTTGGGGGAGTTGGAAACTTTAGTAAAGGAGCCCAATGGCTCTAAAACTAATCAAGAGAGGAACAAAGAACTTTTAGCTGGAATGGGAGTCCACAGTGAAAAGTTGGCAATTTCATTTGGGCTCTTGAACACCGAACCAGGTGCAGAGATTGTTGTGATAAAGAACCTTAGAGTATGTGAAGATTGCCATCTGTTTCTTAAGTTGGTCAGCAAGATTGTGGATCGTCAGTTTGTTGTTCGAGATGCAACCCGTTTCCACCATTTCAGAGATGGGTACTGTTCTTGTAAAGACTATTGGTAATTTTCACTCAAAGTCTTCCAGAGCATAAGATCTGTGGGCACTAGCCAAGCATCCGAGGGATTTTACAAATTGTTCTCAAAATCATAAAATTTATGTAGTTCGAAGGCTGTAAACGCATCCCCTCAAAATGGATAAGTTCATCAGAATTCAATGATTTTTTTAATGAATACAGTCAATTAAGTTCTTGTAGTTTCAACTCGAAAATCAAGTTTCTTGAACTCAGTATGGGAGGTACGTGTACACTAATCAGTTACAGAAACTATTTTGGGGTTGGTGGCATGCTAACTTATGCTTTATGGTAGAATGGGAAAACATCTTATGCTTTTTACCTAGGGCATTAATGCTAGAAGACAGTCAACTTACTGGTGCGGAAGATACTTCAGAGGATGAAAAAAGGCATGATAAGAGAGATGATTCTGAGATATGGCATACAGACTAGGTGCAGTAGTTGGAGGAGTTTAGAAGCTAAAAGTTTGCCAATCATTTGATATCTGAATATATCAGAATTGTGATCATGAAACAGTTCCATTATCAGAGAGATGATTCTGAGAAATGGCATAATGGTTTGGCCTAATGAGGATTAGCACAGAGCTACTAGAAAGCAAATCAGAAACTAGCTACTCTACAAGTCTTGTTATAAATTAGCCAGAAAGGAGAGAGTTTTACTACTGCCTAAGAAGCTAGAACCCTCACATGTTGTAGACAGTAAGGTATGGAGGTTCATTTGAAACATTTTACAAAGTCTATTGCTATAATGCAGAACCTAAGAAGAAGGAAAGTGGTACAATCAAGTCTGTCCTCTATTAGAGCTTGAGGAAACTATAGAGCACATTCTACTTCTTTTTTCCGTTGGACAAAGCTAGTTTGGTTTTCTTGTGGGGCTGGTCCTTTTATGGCTAAGGAAGAAGTTTGCTCTTTTGATGATTGGTGTTTGGTTCCGGTCATGGAGTGTCTTTCCAGAACAGAACCACAATTGTTTTCATATGCTGGTGCATATGAAGGGAAAGAAATGAAACTTTGTGTTTAAAAATGTAAGCCCCAATCCATTGCAAGTGGTTCATACGGTTAAGAGGCTGATGTATGAATTTTGCAGATGACTGGGAAACTAGCAGAGTAGCAGCAGAAAAGCTCAGGTGATGAAAAATGATCTCCTGCTCTTGGCCAGCTCAAAATTAACTTGTGATGGAGCTTATGAAAAAGAAGGGATGGCAGCACAGGTATTATTATTTCAAGATCTTGAGGCCAAGCTAGTTGATGGTGCTTGAAGGAAAACTTTGTCCAGGTGCTGTTGAAGCTTAATCAAATTCGTGATGGTTTACAGTTGGCTGCTGACAAAAGTTATACTAATGTTGTTGTTGAATCTGATAAAGCAGAAGTTATATCAGCAGATTGTGGAAGGCACTGAGAGATAGCTCCAATCCTGGATGAGATAGATGAGTTGAAAAACCGAAAAGGATTTTTGGGATCGTCTCTTTCAAAGTTTTAAGGTATAA